CTTTGCATTGGTAGGCTTTGGAAGAAATCTACTGCCTTTTCAAAGTAATTAATACCCTGCTCAATGTACTCCTACAATTTGACAATTTCCTGCATATATAAAAGAAACACATATTTATGGATCACTCTCCTATGATTCAAAGACCTTTACAATGTCTACAAAAAGTGAGAATGCTTACTTTTATAGTTGAGTACAAACTTTAGCAACTTTATACTTGCATTGGTTGGCAGTAGTAATCAATTCTTTGGAAAACAAGCCTAAGTGCCTAACAAATTAAATGTAAAATATGATTTGAGGCAATTGGAAAAATGTTCTGTTTGGATGCATACAAAATGATAATTCCCAGAACATTAAAAAGGTACCCATGTATATGAATACCTTTAACATCATCATAGTGAGTATGCTTACTGTTTAGCAAGCAGAAGTAGTGTTTCTTCTTTCCCAAGGAAATCCACTGCCTTTTCCATAGTAATCAATGGCCCAAAGTTCTGTTCAGCCTCATAAAATTTAGACATCCTGTATACAGAAAATGCGATTCATGAATAACTATAAACATCATCATTCAAATGCCTCAGAAGAGAAGTGTGGGATTGAAGGAGTAGCACTAGTAAAAGCATTATCCATAAGAACACAATTGACAACATCAAGATGCAGATCAAAGAAATTAATAAGAAACATCAACCCAATCAACGTTTAGTCTAAGTGCCATACCAAGCCTTGCAGTATCACAAAACATGTGTGTTGCCTATTGTAGAGGCAAGATTTGGCATCTGCATATAGACAAAATATATATGAGTTAAATCCTAAAAAGAGGAAAAGGTTGAAGAAAACGTTTAAAGACAAACTTAGAAAAGTTAAATCCACACTCACATCTTGTAGATGCTTTAACAGCAGACATAGTACTTCATTCCATAGGAAATTCTAAGCCTTTCCATAGTATCAGACTCATAAAATTTAGGAATCTTTTGCATATAAGAAAGCTATGCATGTTGATGAATAAACTCTAAAATCACCATACAAGGACCTCACAATGTCTACAAGGAAAAAGTAGTACTTGTTTTATAAAGGGAAAAAAAGAAAGATAAGATCCCCCAACCACAATCTCAAGTTGTATTAAAAGGATAAAAAAGAAAAGATCCTAGTACTTTAGATGGGAAAATTTTACCTGCATAAGTGTATTTAGGACATATTTGCAAGATCTTGATGATGCTCCAGTCAAACTGAAGTCAAAAGTTTTGGCTTCCTATTACATTAAGATTGAGAAAGAAAAGTTATTCAAGACATTCAAAAGATCGGGCTGCCCTTAGTCTTCTGAGTTTGAAAAGACATTCAAAACAATGCAAGCAGATCAACATGAATAAATCCATCATAGCGAAACACAATCCATGATAGAAAAGATGATAAAAAATAACAAGACCTTGCAAATATTGATCCAGAAACAAATTGAAAGTATATGAACAAACAATAATAATAGGAAAGGCAACAGCTAATTACCCCCACTTATAACTCTCCAATTCCTTTGGCCTGCCAATGCATTTTTAAAGGCAAGAACTCTTGTATTTATGGCATTACCAGCCCTGTTATCTCCAGTATATCATGGTGGAAAATTGAAATTTGTTGGGTCAGATTTTGCATTCAATGATTTAGAATCCAAAAATCTTTAACAAGAAAAGAGCTGAAAAAGATACCAATAATCTGACAAAGACTTGAAATGAATTGAAAGACGGAAAGACTTACTGTGAATCAGACGCCTCCATTGTTCAATTTGGGGAAAGAGAAAATGATTTAATATCCAATAATCTGAAAAAAAAAAAAAAAAGAAATGAACCCTGAATGAAAAAGAATGAGAAAAAGCTACCTAAAACCGAGATAAACTAATCAAAGACTTGAAATGAATTGAAAGAGAGAAAGACTTACCAGGAATCAGACCGCCCCATTGTTGAGTTTGGAGAAAGAGAAAATGACTTAATATCCAAAAATCTTAAAACAAAAAAAAAAAGAAAGAAAGAAGTGAATCATGAATGGAAAACGAATACGAAAAAGCTAAAAGCTAATGACTTAGAAAAGAGAAAAAGTTTAAGAATCCAAAAACCTTTAAGAAGAAAAGAATGAAAAGGATACCAAAGACTTGAAACGAATTAGAAAATAGAAATATGTACTTCAATAATTGAATCTGGGGCAATAGTAGCGAGACAGACCTTATATAGCAAGCTAAGCTTTAAGGCGCGAAACTCAATAACCGCATCTGTTTGTTTGACCGGTCAAATTAAAAAGTGGAGCGGGTTTCTTCTAGGCCTGGCCTGACGAATTGTCTAATCCGGAAAGGATCGAAGCTGTGCGTTTTGAGCACAAAATGGGCCCTTTTTTTTTTCCTTTGGACCCAACATAACCATTGTCCGTTTACTGTATACTCTAATCGGCCTCTACTGAATTTGAACTTACATAATCCCCGCCGCTTGGATTTCAGTCCTGGTGGTGGTTTCGTAGCCATTGGGAATGCTGCTGGCAAAGTGCTATTATACAAGTTGCATCATTACAGTCATGCATAGAGTGCTTGTTTGAAGCATCATGTACTTGTGTGTAGGAGTTCAGCTGCCATCTAGTTTCACCCCTAGCCATCAGCAGATGAATAATGCTTTAAAACTGTTTCTTTCCTTTTCTTTTGACTAACTATAAACCATGCTCAAAGAGCCAAAATTTTGTATTCAATAGCTTCAACCTTCTTCTTATAGTGTACGAGTTCATTGGTTGTTGTAACTTCACTTAATGATAGCTTTAGCTTCTTTACATTATTAAAGATTTGGAAAGTCCATTGCTTTCTGTCCCAAAATTATGTTGAAATTATAGAAATCTGTATGATAAAGATTGGTTGGATGTTTTGAATTTCCAGTTAATATTCAAGTAGCCAGTCAACTGGAAAGAGTTCAGCTTGTTCATGTTCAGTTATAAGGCTTGCAATTATCAGTATTATGGCCAACAACTTTAATTCTGTCCCAGTAAGCCAGATACAATAGTTAATATTTGTTCCAACCCAAGAGAACAATTACTATAATTAAAAATTAACCCTTATGATAATTCTTTCAATGTTTATGATACTTTGATAAAGAATGACTATGGTGGTGATTTGACAAGAAGATATAAATTGTGAGTATGCTTTATAATAATACTTCAACAGTAGTTGTTAATTTAAATAGTATATATTAAGTGCCTCACTCCACATTATTCTATATATTAGTCTCTTCTATTAAATTGTGATTAACTGCATTGAAGATATAAATTAATTGTGAAGAGTAAAGAGAAAATTTCACACACTATTTCTAGAGGTTCGGCCCTCTCTCTAGGTGCCTACGTCCTCTCCCTTAGCAAGCTAAGGAGTTTAATCCACTATTAAATAAATTTAATACAACGTGCCTTTTCAAAGGTTTAAGCACAAACCTTGTCTTTTCAAGAATAAGACACAACCTTCCTAACTTTTCAAAGCTAAGTTAAAACCTCTATGCCTTTTCAAGGATATGGCACAACCTCTAAATCTTACCTTTTGAAGGCTAAGGTAGAACCCTTTTCTCTCTTTTACAAGATAAAAGCAAAAGTACCTCTACAAAGTGGGCTTTGCTAAGCAAGTACAATGTAGATAAAAAGATACATAAGAGGAACGAGAATGAAAGCACAAAGAATTTGAATAACATTCTACTTGGACTTTGCATCGGTAGGCTTTGGAAGAAATCTACTGCCTTTTCAAAGTAATTAATACACTGCTCAATGTACTCCTACAATCTGGCAATTTCCTGCTTATAAAAAAGAAACACATATTTATGAATCACTCTCCTATGATTCAAAGACCTTTACAATGTCTACAAAAAGTGAGTATACTTACGTTTATAATTGAGCAACAACTTTTGCAACTTTATACTTGCAATGGTTGGCAATAGTAATCAATTCTTTGGAACACAAGCCTAAGTGCCTAACAAATTAAATGTAAAATATGATTTGAGCCACATGAAAAAATGTTCTGTTGGATGCATACAAATTGATAATTCCCAGAACATTAAAGAGGCACCTATGCATATGAATAACTTTAACATCATCATTGTGAGTATGCTTACTGTTTAGCAAGCAGAAGTAGTGCTTCTTCATTGCAGAGAAAATCCACTGCCTTTTCCATGGTAATCAATGGCTTAGAGTTCTGTTCAGCCTCATAAAATTTAGACATCCTGCATACAGAAAAGGCAGTTCATGAGTAACTATAAATATCATCATACAAATCCCTCAAAAGAGAGGGGTGGGATTGAGGGAAATAGTACTAGTAAAAGCATTGTCTATAAGAACACAATCAACAACATCAAAGTTGCAGATCAAAGAAATTAATAAGAAACATCAACCCAATCAGTATTTGGTCTAGTTGCCATACCAAGCCTTGCAGTATCACAAAACATGTTTGTTGCCTATTGTAGAGGCAAGATTTGGCATCTGCATATAGACAAAATATATAAGAGTTAAATCCTAAAAAGAGGAAAAGGTTGAAGAAATCCTTTAAAGACAACCATTAAAAAAGTTAAATCCACACTCACATCTTGTAGATACTTTTATAGCAGACATAGCACTTCATTCTAGAGTAAATTCAAAGCCTTTTCGTAGCATCAGACTCGTAAAATTTAGGAATCTTCTGCATATAATAAAGACATGCATGCTTATGAATAAACTCTAAAATCACCATACAAGGATCTTACAATGTCTACAAGACAGAAGTAGTACTGGTTTTATAAAGGGACAAAAAGACAGATATAAGATTCCCCAACCACAATCTCAAGTTTTATTAAAAAGATAAAAAAAGAAAAGATACTAGTAGTTTAGATGGGAAAATTTTACCAGCATAAGTGTATTTAGGACATATTTGCAAGATCTTGATGATGCTGCAGTCAAACTGAAGTCAAAAGTTTTGGCTTCCTATTACATTAAGAGAGAGAAAGGAAAGGTATTCAAGACATTCAAAAGATTGGGCAGAGTTTGTAAAGACATTCAAAGCAATGCAAGGAGATCAACATGAATAATCCATCATAGTTAACACAATCCATGACCTTAAAAGATGATAAAATAATAAAACCTTGCAAATATTAACCCAGAAACATATTGAAAGTATGTTACCCCCAGTCTCCTATTCCTTTGGTCAGTCAACGCATTTTCAGAGGCAAGAACTCTTTTATTTAGGGCACTACTAGCCCTGTTATTTCCAGTATATCATGGTGACAAATTAAAACTTGTTGGGTCAGATTTTGCATTTAATGATTAAAAATCTTTAGGAAGAAAAGAAGTGAAAAAAATACCAAAAAGCTACCTAAAACAAAAATATAACCAATCAAGGACTTGAAATAAATTGAAAGAGAGGAATACTTACTGAGAACCAGATCGCTCCATTGTTGAATTTGGGGAAAGAGAAAATGATTTAATATTCAATAATCTGAAAAAAAAAATGAACCCTGAATGAAAAAGAAAACCAAAAAAGCTACCTAAAATCGAAATAAACTGATCAAAGACTTGAAATGAATTGAAAGAGAGAAAGACTTACCGAGAATCAAACCGCTCCATTGTTGAATTTGGAGAAAGAGAAAAAGACTTAATATCCAAAAATCTAAAAAAAAGAAAGAAAGAAATGAATCATGAGTAGTAAACAAATACGAAAAATCTAAAACCTAATCACTCAGAAAAGAGAAAAAAGTTTAAAAATCCCAAAATCTTTAAGAAGAAAAGAACTGAAAAGGATACCAAAGACTTGAAATGAATTGGAAAAGAGAAATCTGTGCTTCAATGGTTGAATTTGGCGAAATAGTAGTGGGAGAGACCGTAAATATAAAACTATCCAACGGCGGGAAAATCAAAAACCGAATCTGTTTATTTGACCTGTTAAATTAAAAGTGGAGTGGGTTTCTTTTGGGCCTGGGCTTGACGAATCTTCTAATCCAGAAAGAATCGAAGCTATGCGTTTTGAGCAAGAAAATGGGCCTATTTTTTTCCTTTGGACCCAGCAGGACCCATTTTCCCTTTTATTTAATATAAAAGAAATGTAATTATTGATTGAATAAAACAAAATATATTAAAAATTAAAAAATGCAATTTATTTTGTTAACCAACTGCTAATCTGGCTAAATCTATACATCTACACCTACACACGTTACATTGACCTAAAAAGATCCCGCCTTTGTCGGGCCAACGTGATCGTTATTAACCCAAAAAAAGATTTTTTAAAATAATATTTAAAAAAATTTTAAATTATTTATGTTTCACGCTCCGCATTAATATTACAACAAACAATATTATATTTTATGCAATAATCATGAGTTAATTATTAATTATAATAAATTTTTATTTAAAAATAAAAATATAAAAATTTTATTAAACATAATAAAACAATACAATTTTATTTAAAATTTTTTTAATAATTTAAAAACTTTCTCAAACATTATACCAAAATTTTGAAAAAATTCTTCATTGTCTGTTAAATAGTCTAATTTATATAAAATACCATATTAATCTCAACATAAAGCTGACTTCATCCACCAATCAAACACACATTTTCCAACTGTACAATCCTCTTGTCCGAATAAGTAGGTCCAAGTGTTAACCGAAGAATCTTGGGCGACAATTTTGATGCAATAGCATTCACATATAAACTGAGGGGATCTGCAGAGCCAGTCAAAGATAGGAAAACATAAGTGACTTTTTGTCTGAAGGAACAGCGAGGAAAAACCTTAAGAGAGTTCAAAAGATCGAACATGGTTGGTCCAGGCAGGCCTCTCTTCGTTCTTTTTGGATCTTCCATCGTTCAGTTCAGTTACAGCAACGAAGGCTGGGGTGCGATACTTGCTGATATATATGCTCGCAAGGTACATGTTTTTATTCCAATCTTTTACTTCTATTACTACTACATATATCTGCTCTTTTCCGTACTGTTCTTGTTTTCCTTCATTGCATTTATACTTTTTTCTGGGGTTTTTACTGAAAACGAGATTGATTTCGTTGATACCCAGAATTAGTATCAAGCTCAAAGAGTTGTGGACTTGGTGTTTTGATTTTGGTTTTGTTTGTTGGGGATATTCTAGTCTACGTGTGTCATGTCTTATCTTCTTTTTCGATGAACAGAGAAAGAGATTCACATCTTTTCCCTGGTGGAGGGATCCACATTTCCTTTTGATTTTCTCATAAAGATTAACATTAGTTTCCTCGGAAGAGGAAAATGATTCCCTCACTCTTAACGGATTTCAATCCTTTTTTGCCTCTTCTCAAGCTAGAGCGTTGGTTCTTGGTCATGTTTTTGCTGCTATTTGGATTCTGCAATTCCTTCTTTTATTTTGCTACTTAGTGCCCTCAGCTTGCTTTCCCAGTTTCCCTAGGGCGGGAAATGATAATGCAAACCGCCAAACTTATCCATATTTAATTTGCAATTATTGCTATTTGAAATAAGAGCACCAACCACTTGGTAGATAGATGTTGTTAGGAAAAGAAAAGCTGATAGATTCCTAGTTGGACAAATCTAGTGTATGGATGTAAAAGCTTTGAGTGTGAAATCCACCCACTAGCAAATAATGGAGCTGATGAGAATGACATTACACTTTATCTTTGTCATTTTTCCTTTTGGAAGAAAAGAAGTGAAGAAAAATTAAAGATTTGGAAGCACAGCCAAAATGATTTATTGCTTTGTTTTGTTATGTCAACTTCTGAATGGAAAAAACCAAAACATTATTTGTATGTAAAAGCCTTTCAACAAAGTGATTTTTGCCTTAGAAAAGTAAGAGAGCACTCACACACATTGCCTTTTGTTCTTTGTTAAAGCCAAATAACTAGAAACTGTGGATTCTTTTTTAAGGATGAATTACATGAAAATATCCTATGATGTGAGGTAGAATAAATCTGCCCCTTGAGGTTTAAAATTTGAAGCTTATACACCGTGTCTAGTCCCGTTACTTTTCTATTTAATATCGTTAACCTTATTTCAAGAATTTTTCAAGTTCTTTTTTCAGAATTTATTTTATCATTAATACTAATTTAATGAAATATGAAATGTGGTAATTTATTATTCTTAACGCTGTAACGAAAGTTCTAACAAATAAAAAACAGAGTATTTGAGTGTCAAATGTTAAACTTTGTGGGACAAATTTATTTCGCTTCAAACCACACGTTTGTTTTTTGTCATTTACCCCTTTTTTTTAATATGAAAAATTCTAAAAATGCTTTGGTTTAGTGGTTAATTCATGTTTGTTGCCATGAGAATTTCTGTTGTTATATTGAGGAGTAACATTTTCTTCATTTCATGCCTCGAATCAGTAGAATTCTATATTCGAATTATAGTGAAATCTATATTGTGGATATCTAGCTGAAAGAATCAAGATCTGTGATATATGCCAAGGTTTCTACAAGTCAAAGGCTTTACAGCATAGTCAATTCTTAAACATACATCAGTGTTAAAACTAGATTTTGTCTGTAATTGGACATAGGCAGACATAGTACTGCGAGGATACTCTGGCTGGAACTCAAGGCGTGCTTTAAAGGTTCTGCATCAAGTCTTTCCAAAGGTATCATATGTTTTAAGGCTGACTTAGTGTCTAGGTTTGGCAATTTGTTCTTGATCTTTGTTCACGAAAGCATGCCGTGAAAAACGGATGCTGAATTTCTAGCTGTTCTTGTTATGAATTAAGGATGCTGGTGCACAACCATCATTGGTGATAGTCTATTTTGGTGGCAACGATTCAATGGAACCCCATCCACTTGGCCTTGGCCCTCATGTGCCTCTTCCGGAATATGTCGAGAACATGAAGAAGATTGCTATGCATCTCAAGGTACATTCTCCAACCCAACTACTGTTCCTATCAGTTCTCGTTATGTTTCCGAATTACCTGCCTTGCCAGAAGATTAAAAAACAACATGAAACATTAAACTCATATGATATAAACTGTTAGCATTCCGTCACCAAACCATCTTCAAGAACTACAAGGTTTCAATACCAGACTGCTTTGCTTTTTGATCCTCAGGGCCTATCAGACAAGACTCGTGTAATGTTTCTTTCTAGTCCTCCAGTTAATGAGGAACAAATATATCAAACCCTTGGTGTTCGAGGTCGAAGCAATGAAGCCTGCCGAATTTATTCTGAAGCTTGTTTGACACTATGCAAAGAGCTGGATGTAAAAGGTGTTGATCTTTGGACTGCAATCCAGCAAAGAGATGATTGGAAGACAGCTTGCTTTACGTAAGTTCAGTTTCATACCACTCAAAACACTTCCTTGGATTGTCTAGCTTTATGCTGATAGAAATGTACTGGGATGATGTCTGATTCTTTTTTCATACAGGGATGGCATCCATCTCTCCTCTGAGGGGAGCAAGATAGTTGCTAAAGAAATCTTGAAAGCCCTGAGGGAGGCAAAGTGGAAACCAAGTTTATACTGGAGGTCATTACCCACAGAATTTGAGGAGGATTCGGCCTATGATCCCATTGGCCAAGACGGAAGGAGCACCATAAAAATTTCAGAGCTTGAATTTTCACGAAGTGTGCAATGGGAATAGTCTTTGTTAATGGCATCTAGGCCTATTCACTACAAGTTGGTTTCCTTAAATCTCATTGCGTGTAACCAAAGAGGCTCCAAGTTGATTGTATCTGATTTTACACAGATGCCCTGGAAACACCCTCATTTAAGCCTTCCTTTGGAATAAATAAGCCTTTGAAAATAAATGACGTAAACTTCATATTTGGTTGAGTTTTTGGATTCACATGTTATGGTAAATGAAATTCCCCATAACCAGGTTACTTCACAGTTCAAACTCTCCAATTATCAGGCTAAAATACTTTCAGGAAACAAATGAGCCTTTAACAGCAACACGAGCTTCAATGAGAATTAAGAAGGTAAGAAATGCATAAATTGGTCATTAATTTTTCTGTTCTCTGAAGGTTATATTACATCAAAAACAAGTTCTACAAACCCAGTTCCCATGTGTCAACCGTCAAGGATACCTCAATTACATGCCCAAGCCAAATGTGAAACATTTTAATTAAACAAAAAAATAATAATACATACAAAAGGCGAGGAAAGCAAGCATAAAGAAAGGCAATAGCAGCACTCAACATGGTCCTACTTTAGGCAACCAATTTCACTCGGACGGTGTTTGCCTAAACTCTCTAAACCTTCCACATTGGAACAAAACCAGGCCTTAGGCATCCGAGCATATGGAAACACACTCTGAAAGGGATGATAAAACAAGAGAATTCTGATTGTGCAAGAGGGTGCATCACCTTCTAGGGAAAACATTCTTACGAGGAAAGTTGGAACCTGCCGCTACGTTTTTTTCTTCTCCATCCCTGAAATGTTCAAACAAGAACGGAATGAGACCTTGGAATCCAAGAAGCACGCACAGGCAATTACTCAGAAGAATGAAAGGAAAGAGAGAAAGGTGAAGATAGCTGAAAACTTACGAAGGCAACATAATACACGAAGGTCAATCCCGCTAGAACAACGAATGCAATTTGAAATACATTATACCTGTAATGCCAATATGCCCAACAACATCAGTAGAACACATACATGCCTGATCAGGGCAAAGCTAGGAACTCAAACAGTATAAACTCACTTGTACAAATATTTAATTCCACGAAGAGACTGCAATGTGTGGCCGAATATTTCCTGGGCAGCAGTTGCTTGAGCATAGTACCCAAATGCTGTGGAACAGAACTGTATGACACTGAAACCGCAAACACAGACAACATTCCCATCAAATAATGCTGAAAAAACTGAGTTCCCATTAAATGACAACATATAATTCCCTAATAAACTTTTCGACAACCAGGCACAAATCTAGAGACAACATTTCAAC